CCTGCTGTAGTAAATTGCCTTGCCAGTGTCTGCTCCCTCCCTCTGAGCAATGCCTTCTCCCCAGCTAAATGACACACAAGTAGTCAAAGCCACATAGGGAATGCACCCCAACTTCTGCCCTACCCAGTGTATCATGGGTTGCAGGTGCCCCCGTGAGCTGAACTATTTTTACATTTGCTGCCTTAGAAAAGCAGAGGTTTTACTATTTGTCAGCTTTGCCTTTGAACAACAGACGAGTTCAAAGGAAAACAAGTGTTATTCTAGTGAAGCCAAAAGACTACATTAACCATTGCAAATCCACACCAATACAGTTAAAATTAAACATTATTCAATATATATTTGAGTTAAATAATTAAATACATGCCTAATACACATTTAAACATCATTTCATAGTTTTTGCTTTTTGCTCATAAACTTTGGAAGCATCCTATGATGGCTACAGGTCAGTTCATCCATACCTTGCCAGAAGGGTGGGATCTTTCAGAATGGACACACCTTTGACTTCTCTCACACCTGAGTTCTTTCTTACAACTCAAGGCTGCAGATGTGTCTCTCAAAACAAGATCAAACGCCATCTTCCATAAACCCATGTTCCACCTGGACTCTGTATACCACTCCTTACTGATGAATTTAACTCAGGCTTCTGCTGTGATATTTCCTCACTGCCTCAGCAGAACACATTAGTAACACAAATAACTAACTTGAAAGAAAAAAAAATACCATACTTCCACTGTACTTTGTTGGTTTGTTTTTTTTCCTATGTTTAGGAATCTTTCAAGGAATATAAAATACTACTGAGACTCTTATAAAATGCAAAACCAGAGTTCTTAAACATTGCAAAAGTAAACGAAATTATGGCAATCATTCCACTGCCTGGGAAGTGAGTGCATGCCAAAATTCACAACAGTTCTGTTTGTCTACTTCTGTAACTGAATTTGCAATCTCTAACATACTCAAATTATGACTTATTAACTGGCTTTAACTGCAGACCACGTTTCCAAGCATCTTCAAAGCAATCATTAAGAGGCTGAACCAAAGCAAAACGGTTCCTAACATGATGAAATGGAATTACAAATGCTTGACAAGTACCTTGTTTGAAGGAGTTTCCAGATAGGGATTTGAAATTCTTCTGGACAGGGTCTGTAAGAAAATTTGATAGAGCTTTAGTTTTGTTTCTGGTTTTTATATTGAAAAAAGTAGCAGCAGTCTAGGTAAGGTTTGGTAAACAGTTCTGTGTTATTTACTACACTTGATCTGGAAAAGAAAATGAGCAATGAGGTGGTAAAGTCTGTAGATGACACACTATTATCTAGGTCAGGAAAGACCAGAAATGATAATAAAGAATTTCAAGATAAACCTAAAAAAATGTGAGGTGAAAAGACAGTATCATGATGGGCTCAACATTAAAAGCAGCATGCGCTAGAGGGAGAAAGTGTAATCACACATGCTCTAACATCTTGTAAAGCAAACTTTATCAATTCAGTAAAGACACCTCAGGGCTGCAGAATACTTCTCAAGGAAGACCACTCTTCTAAATTAAATTCTCAACCAGAGTTAAAAAAAAAAAAAAGATAAATAATGAAATGGTGACGAGCAGGGAGGTAACCCTGCTCTAATGTAAATCAGCATTATCTCTGCCATGCCATATGCTGCTCTGATAATAGCATCTCAAAAAATGGATGCTCCAATGTTAGAGGGGATTCAGACAGTAATAGTAGTGGGGATAATAAAGGATTTGGCTAAATTTTAATATGAGAAGAGACAGAAAAGACTGTGACTATTTACCTTACAAAAGAGAGATTAGCGGAGACATAATGCAATTACACAAAATAATGAAATGGCACAGAGAAAAGACAGACTTTCTGTGCTCCTTTTCATGTAACATGAGAATAACCCATCACTCAATGAAATTAGAGAGGATTCATATTTAAGGAGACAGAAAGGAAACCAACACATAACTCTTCACAGCAGGGAAATGCAAATCTTACTGCTGATCAATAAAGTTTGGGGATTTAAAGCTATAAAATTAACAGTGAAGCAGAACTCTGGAATGCAAACAGACAGGATGAACACCTCTGCAAGCACCAGGTTACCTCACCTTTACTCACCATGATACTTCCATATCTTGTCAGTGTTAAAAGAAAAGGTATTGTCTACTCTTATGCTTTCTGGCAACTTCTATCTTACCACAAGCCACACAAGAGATAAATAAACATTGTCTAAAAGAAGTCTGGAAGTGGAACAGCAGACACTGCAGGTGCACTGGCAGCACAATGGGAGGATTGTGTGGTGCTCCCTCACATTATTTCAACTTGTAGACAGCATAATTAATTCCTCACTTTGAGAAGGAGCCAATTCACATTTGGAATATTGTAATCATAAAGCAAAAAAATTAAAAATCATCTCATCCTTTAAGAATTACAAAACCCATATTTCAGTACTGCCACCTGCTTTTTTCCCCCTATGTTCTTGTTACTTTATATTTAGAAAAGGAAAAGGAAGTGACAAGGAACCACAGAAGCATCTAACACTGCTTGCCCTTCCATGCTCATTACAAATGTTAGTGTAGATCCGTACATAACAGTAGCTCCATATGGAAATACTGTAAAATAAAAGATTAATTTCCCTTTTCTGTACTTAACAAAGATGCTGTAACAGTGCAACATTTCTCAGATCCCACTTACTCTTCCTAGCCAGCAGCAGCTCTACATACCTCCACTTCACTTGGTTTCTACCCAAGGCTTTCATTCAACAAGCCTCATGTACTGCAGCAGCACTGTTAGAGCTTATACATCAGTTTCCTCCCTTCTTGCTCCATTCCTAGGTTGGTGGTGAAAACATTATCAAGATAATTCCAGCAATGCCAGTGGGAACTCCAGCCCCTGCATTGCACTGGCCAGGCCTCAGCATTCAGAGGACAGCTGAACCTCAGCCAGGGAAAATGCTCCTAGTGCAAGATGCAGTTACACAACAGCAAAAAGCCCACCAAAAAGGACAAATTTAGTGGCCTTCTACAATGGCATTACAGAACTTGTGACAAGGGAAGGGCCACTGACATCATCTACCTGGACTTATGGGAAGCATTTCACACTGTCCCACACATGTCTCTGAACTGGAAAGACATGGATTTGATGGGTGGACCACTCAGTAAATAAGGAATTGTCTGGATGGTCACACTCAAAGAGCTGCAGTCAATGGCTCAATGTCTGGGTGGAGACCAGTGAAGAGTGGTGTCCCTCATATTATTTATTTAACATCTTTGTATTATTTAACATCTGAACATTGTTTACTTAACATCTTTGTCCAGGATGTGGGCAGTGGGATTGAGTGCACCCTCAGCAAGTTTACAGATGAGACCAAGCTGTGTGGTGAGGTCAACACACACTAGAGGGAAGGGATGCCATGCAGAGGGACCTTGGCAGGCTTGAGAGATGGGCCCATGAAAACTTTACGAAGTACAAGACCAAGTGTAAGGTCCCGCACCTGAGTCAAGGCAATCCCAAACACGGATACAGGCTGGGTGATGACTGGATCGAGAGCAGCTCTGCAGCAAAGGACTTACGGGCACGGGTGAATGAAAAAATGAGTATGAGACAGCAATGTGCCCTTGCAGCTCAGAAAACCAACCATACCCTGGGCTGCATCAAAAGAAGCACAGCCAGCAGGTTGAGGGACATGACTGTCTCCCTCTACTCTCTCGAGCCCCCACCTGGAATATTATGTCCCACTCTGGAGCCCCCAGCATTCACAGCCCTGAAATTTGAGAAGGGAAGACCGGACAATGGCTTCTGTCAGCGGCAGCCTGAACCTTTTTTTTTTTTTTTAAACTTGCCTCACTAAATATTTAGATAGTACAAAGTCCCTTCATTTTGTGCTACTGAGCACAGTTCTATTCAGCACACTCGACTTTTGCTGTTGGGGATAAACTGTGCAGTCCTCTTCCAGAGGAGAAGAATGGACTGGGGGTCCAAGCTTTCTTGAAAACCTGGGCTGCTGTGTCATGGAAGCACCACTCCTTCTCAAAGGTATTTGGTAAGTATAGGCTGCTCCTCCCAAATTATTTTCACACACAAACCAGTTCAAAAAACATTTGCAAATAACTCTTAGAATGAGCCAAAACATGCTTTTAAAGCAAATTCATTAGTCATCAAGCAAACAACTCATCTCTTATGAAAACTACCTTGGAACAGCTATTGCTGCCCATGCCAAGAGCTGCCTTCCAGGCATTGCCACCCCAGAATCCCCCTGTGCCTCTTCACCAGCTTGAGGAGAAGCTTTGCCAAACCACGTGTCAAGGAGGAGATGGGGATGTGGCAGCATATATGCTCCTGGGACAGGAAACCATATATGCAGCAGATTGAGAGTGCTGGGTGTCCTCCAGGAGGGCTCTCCCACCACACATGAGTAGGTGTGGAGAGGTAGCTTCAGCTTCCCTGCTGGGAATGCAGGAAGAAAGAAGCAGAGAACTGGTGCTCTGGGCTGGGTGATCAGGAGCATGACGTATGAACAAGGGACAATGATGGCATCCTAGCTTGGGGACACAACTTGCACATGACAGGAGAGGACAGGTGGGCCAGGAAAAAGCTTTGGAACAGATCTGCTAGCATCCAAATCTGAATATACCACAGATAATTTAGTCTGAAATTGTGAAAAAAAACCAAACATATATATAAAAGAGTTTACTGTGATATCTAAAATCATTATAAATGCAGGGAGTAGAGCAATAATGTTAAAAGAATGGGAGGATTAGAATTAAGTGAGCAGCAAGTAATTTAAAACAATCAGAAGGAAATACTTCTTTACAATCCATATGACAATCTCATGGAACTAGTAGCTACAAAAAATCAAATACTTCAGCTAGATTTTTAAAAGCAGTAGCTAATTCAATGACTGACATTACTATGCAAGGTCTGTACCTGGGTTTAAATTAGTATTGCTTCAACTGGACAACTATTTTTAAACAAGTTGAGAATCTCTGCATTATTTAAAGCATGCAAAGATATTGAGGATAACATTTTAATACATGAGCACAAACTGATTTTTGAAAGGTTTGGAAAGACACCCCTCCCCACAACATGCTACACAACAAATGAAGAGTACTAATGAAGGCACATTTGGGTCTCCATTGGAAAGATCAAGCTGTATTGCAGTGTGAGATGCTGACTTAGTTCTTTACTCAGCAGAGTACTGGACTGGTTCTACTACAGCAACTCCCTGTGCACATTTACTACAGCCTAGTTAATGAAAGGCTGAAGATACTACAGAGCATGTTTTCAGCCATACCTTTTGGAGATACATTTGAATTTTCTCCTCATTTTTAGATCAAGGATTTTTCTTTGGCCTTATCTCAGCTTCAGAGGATGACTTGTCTGCAAGTTGCTTGTGCTTTGCCTCCTGCCCAAGCTGTTCCAACAACTGCTGATATTTCTGCCATTGCCAGCACTGCAGTTGTGGTAGTATCAGCAATGCTCCATACATCTGCTAGCAATTTAATCACCATCATGCTCAGAAAGAAACAAAGCAAGAGTGCTTGGAGCTCACATTCAAGTGCTTTCCTCAGCTGGGATTTAGTACA